CAGGAGTTTACAGTATAGAAAGAAAAAATAGATTAATATTGAATTGGCCAATGTGGAGACAGGGAGCTTATGCTCAAAAACCCGACTCCCCAGTGGCGTGTAGGTTGCTGATTATACAGGACAAAACCACAAGACACCGTGGGTTAGGGGTACAGGGTTGTGCTGGGAGCTGATTGGTTGGAGGTGAGGTAAGGATAGTCTCTCTGGTCTTATGGGAAAGTAGCCAGGGGGTCATTCCACCTTAGGGCTCAGGAGCTGAAACATAACTTAGGTCAAGATGTTATCTTAGCTGCCAAATGTCCAGATCTTCCCACTGACCATTAGTCAGGTCTAGGCTACTGCCTTCTGCTGCCTCGGGGGCTGCTGAGGAGGATGGGGGACAGAGAGAGGTGTCTAGAGCTAGGATTTAAAACTAATTTTAATCAAAGTCATAGGGACTCTCAGTTTCAGCTGTGAGGATCAAATGAAAAACAGGATGACAGAAAGTGGGTGAGGGATTTAGGGAGGAGGGGGGTGGGAGAGCGCGGCACACCCCCTCATAACCCCCATGAGCATGAGCCACTCAAAAGCAGTCCAAGAGCCACCCTGGCCAGTGTGACTGCAGCTTCAGGCCAGCAGAGGACAGCCAGACCATGGCTGGCCTCCCCCCAGATGGCGCTGGGTCCAGTGCTCCTCTGGCCTCAGCCACTGTGGCTTTAATCAAAAGAACAATCTGTTTGCCTCTGAATCAGACCCAGATTCCTTTTTCCCAGCAATGTTCCCGAGGCCTCCGGGGACTTGGGCGGCCCATCCCGGCTCCATCTCCTGTCCCGGGGCCCAGGCTCAGCTTCGCCTCCCCCCTCCATTATCTATCCACTCCAGCTTGGAGGAGGGAGTGCAGGAGGTGGCAGGGGGTCCATGACAGGTGACCTGATTGCCAGCTGGGCCCTGCCTACCAGCCCTCCCGGAGGGGCCTGTCCCCCAAGACCCAGACCCTGGGACCCACCTGCAGAGGGCTTAAGAGTTCCAGACAGGTAGTGACAGCTCAGGACACCAAATCCAGGTGACCTGCTTCACTGAGGCACGCCCTAGAAAAGCCCCAAGCCCAGCATATATTGACCATTCCCTGTGTTCTCCTTACAGTCATTAGCATATTTTATCCTCAGGCTGACCCTGACAGGTAGGCAGCCCATCCCCTGGTTTTACAAAGAAACAGGCTCAGGAAGGGGGAGTGACTGCCCAGGTAGTTAGTGAATGACCATGAAACCCAGGTCTAATTGACTCGTAGGACCTCGGGAGATTCCAGGCCAAACTGAGGGGTAAGCACCCCTTCCACCTGACAAGGCAGGTAGAGCCACCAACCCAAGGGGAGAGGGAGAATAAGGACCACTCAAGGTGCACAAAGGACACGGAGGGGGTGGGTGGGTGTCCGTGGAGGAGGCCTCCCACCCTCCAGGCCGGGGCCGGGGGAAAGGGAGGAGGGGTCGAGGGAACAAAGAGAGGGGGAGGGGGCTGCG